GCGCGGTGCCACGCGGCGCTCTCAAATGTAGTATCGACTACAGTATCCGGGCATCCTACGGTCTACCGTCTACATTATCATGCATGGAGTACCGGGTACAGGTACCTACTGTCTAGGTACCTTAGTAAATATGATGACTTCCGATCGACGGTACACGTACTTGAGTCAGCACAGTTCTGTATGTAATCGACGGCTAGCGAGTAGTCGAGTCTGCCGAAAACCAATACGGACCGACCGGGGGACCTTGGGTGTTGCCAAGGCCCCAACAAGTGAGGCAAGGTGTGTTTCAAGGTGTATAAAGTCTCACCTTGGGTGGAAACAGCAGGGCCTTCTCAGGCTTCAGAGGTCGAGGAAGGAGGAAAGAGCCTGGAGGCGCAATGGCTCCTTCACACCAAGGAGGAAGAAGCCATGACAATGGCTTCCGAAAACCGATTCAATTCAATTGCTGAAAAAGAACATCAAAATAAACACTTGCAACTTGATCTACACCCTGTAGGCTACCTCCAGACGGAGTGGCAACCCTGCCAACTCTTTGCAAGTGAAGACGCCACCTAAAGAAGACACCATGAGTTTCAGGGCCATTTTACCTATTTACCGAGGTATTTCCTCGGTCCAGTGAAAATTACCTACGTAAAACCTTCAGCCGACCTCCGTAAGGCCTCGGATTGACCCTCTGGACCGGAAGGTATTCCGACGATTTTCCGTCGATTAACCTCCGATCGACCGACCGAAAATCGGTACTACCGAGGTAGTACCTAGCTAATAACCGGTCGGACCTCGGTCCGCGCGTCGCGCCGTACGGGTCCTGTGCATCAAATTTGGGCATGCACCGAGCATCTACCCTAAGATTACATGCAGTTTTCTGATGACTCACTCAGCTAGTTGTCAATGAACCGGCAAATTTCTTATAAGCTCCATATATGGAGCGTGTACTCATCAGTTCTGTCCAATCTCCTTACGGACCGTTTCATCAGGTCGCTTCCCTTGTGCTAGCATTTGAAAGGAAAGCATACGTCGCTTGGGAGAGGGCAAAGTGTGCCCGCTCCAGTTCGAGTGCACGCACTGATGAAGCTTGAACCGTGTGACAGCAAAAGACGCTGCGCAGAAGTCGCAAGTAGCAACTAATGTGCGCGTGGTGGAATTGAAGAGCGCCACATTATCCAGGCACAGCGCAGCACGAGATCAACTCTATGGACAATGTGTCCAGGAGACTATCGTTCGAACACTTTGCCTAGGCCTCAGCTCCTTGAGGGCCCAGCCTAAGCCGTAAGCTTACGTGAATAGACCACGTACATGGGATCCGAGCGGCCAGGGTTGGGTGAGATGTCTAAAGCCTGCAAAAAACCGCTCGAAAAGGTGGGCGGAAAGTGGTCGCAGAGTCTAATCACTTATGCAGCTAGCTCAAGAGCAGTGCAGAGATTCATAAGATGGAACACAAAAATCATTCTTCCTTGCCGCCCGCCACAAGTACTCACGACTAGAATTGAATGAGATGCATAATTGGCAGCAGACCCTCAAGGAAACACCTAACTCTTATAAGCAAAATGCTCAATTCGCCTCACCTGCGGAGCTTCAAATCCACCGGTGTAATGGAAGTACGACCCGACTATATACACGTGGTCAACGTCGCTTGTCCCCGTCCAGATGGAGATAGCTTTCGTCCAGAAGCAACGGTTGGAGAAACTGCAGCGAAAGAATACGAACGATGTCACATTGGAAGCGCTGCACGCCATAACCTACTTTTGCAATCAGCAACGGATCGGGGTTGCAAAGTATTTCGTTGGTTGCAATTCGAGAGTGGCAAAGTGGCATTGACAGCGATGCCTACTGTGATCTTTTAAACCTACGAAACTTCAACCAACAGAAGTCCATGTGATCGAACGTTTTGCGTTGGCACTTCATCTTCCTGAAAGACAGAGTCGTCCTCAAGAAGCTGTCGGTGGAGTCCACTTTCTCTTGGAAGACGCACCTCATAGCACAAAGTCCACCGGGTTTCAGGACCCTGTGCATCTCTTTGAAGATTTCAAGTGGTTTTTTGAGGTAGTCAACGCTGACCTGCAAACAAATCATTGAAGCTTCAGTGCGGCGACAAGGAATGCCGCAGGCATACATGGAAGACTACCGATGATGGTGCGTTGGTTGGATGGAGGCGGCTAGATGAATATGCTTTCATTCATAGGTCGACACTCGTCTTTGAGCTTTGCTACAAAAAGGCTCACGGACATGAAACAGCAATCAAGTCCTCAAGATTGGCACCCTCAGTGTGCGAGAACAGATTGAAGAGACTCACCGCATTGACAATGACGTCAAAGGAGTTGTCTTCGTATGGTAGCTTTGGGTTGACATTGAGATCTTGGACAGTGAACTCTGTCAGCACTTTGTTTTCTTTCAGTTCAGCCTCATTAAGACCCAGCCCAGCAATCCGCTCCTGCTTGTAATTTGGTGGGAAATGACTGATCTGCAAGAGTACAGCAGACCAGAGTAACTAGAAGGTTCACAAAGTGGTCGCTCAATATTGTAATGTATCGATATTGCAGTGCATACTCGAGGACTGCCAATTGAGTGGGATGCTGTTGAATGTCAACCGCCAACCAGTTTCCAATCCGTTATAGATCCATCAGAATCATTTCAAGAAAGAAATCGAGCTTGCAACTCTAAAATAAAGAAACCGAAAAAGCAATCGAGATCCACTCACCCAGCTACTGCAAAGGTCGAGCACAGCAATCCCTGGAGTGTTGCTCTGCGGAAACACGCTTGCGTAATAGTTGGTGAGCGCCTTGATGGCATAGTCGTCGATGTGGGTTACGAAGCGTGGGCTTGAGTAGAACGTCGTATCTGGCGTCCTACGGAAAAGACAAAACCGGTGGTTCAAGGATACTACGAACGGGAGGGTACGTACTGCGGCCTTTTCTAGCTAGCTCCCAGCTTAGATTCTCTAGAAGTCTCACATCAGCAGGATATGATAGCACATCCTGGACCTTGACAGGAGGAAGCATGCACTCTCATCCTACTTCCTGCTTCGCCATGTTGCTTGGCATAATGCAAGCAATAATCAAAGAGGGACTTCATGATGTATGAGTGACCAAAGCCCTTGACAACCCAGATCAAGCAGAAGGGTGAAGGGGGTTGTGGTAGGTCCTCACTCGTCATAGCGTTCAAAGTCCTTTGCTGAGAATGGAAACTCCTCTGGCCAATCTACTTCTTTCAAAGCCTGCAACGTACAGTTGTGTGTGTGAAGACAATGATTGCGGGTAGTTGTGTATGAAAAGCTCAATCTCGCTTAAAAGTGAGTGCTTCAGAAACTATAACTCGTAAAAGCAGACATGCCAAGAGACTCAAGAGATAGTGAAAGTCTGTCCATTGAGCCTTCCGGTGAACATGCTATCTTGCTTCCCATACCTCAGGATCTTGGCTTTGCAACCACCACCTTGTCCTACAGCAAGCGCACCTTTTCAATCTCTGGGTTCTTGGCTCTTGCAAGAGCTGGTGGTGTCCCTGTGCTGATCCCTGTGGTGCCGCCCACCACCATAAACCCCAATAAACCCTTCAAAAACCCCTTCATCAGAGGGCGCCTGGAAAGCGGCGACGACCAGATTCGTCCTGTACGCAAGTTCGGGCTGCCACTGAGAGAAAGAAGAGACTTGCTCTGGGCTGTACTCGAGAATGCTGGAGCGCCAGAATGTCTTCTATGTGGATGCTGCAATCGAGGGGGCAGAATGCATGATCCAGCAGCCCGCAGGTTGTTTGCCACTGACTGATTCAGCTGCAAAGTTACAGGGCGGCATAGGTGGTTGGCAACAGAGGCGGCCACCATTTCGTTTTATTTATCGAACCAGGTAAACAGATTGTTTTGAAGACGCCACGCCTGTTCAGCTAGCTTGCGCAAATATCAGCTTGCATAAAACTTGGTATTAAAGGCTACCTATGACAATGTACAGAGCACTGCCTAAATGAACACGCCAACAGTTTTTTTTTTTTTTTTTTTTTTTTTTTTTTTTTTTTTT